TCTTCTTAATTCTTACATTAAAATGTAAATAGGGTAATTATAAAATAATAAACTCTCCCCCAAATAAAAAATGCTCCATTTTAGAGTTTGGCTATGCAGATTACAGCATCATTACTAAACACTGAGACCATGTATATGTCACATTTGAGAATTTGCTATCCAGACTTTGTGACTTTACTGCCCAGAATCTAAGAATGACTCAGAAATTTAATTTCTTACTTTATTATCACTGGAGCTTTTGAGCAGTGACAAGGAAGCTGTTGGTCTTATGTACATTTGTTGGTGTGCACATTTGTCCATATCTCTATTAGTAAATACAAAGAAAATGGCTAAAATTGAATGGAACTCAAGACAAAGGTGAACCAACTCCCAGAACCTACTCTGGGGCTACAAATAAATTCGCACACCTTTCCCTACCCAAACCATGATATAAATAAAAAGCAAAATTTGTAGTCATTCTTTTTGAGTCTTAGCTGTTCCACTTATAAGATGGAGGTGTTCATATCTTATTCTCAACACAGATACCATGGAAATCATTTTTATTAACAGAGCTTGAATAATCCTCCCAAAGATCATGTAGTCCATTGGGGTCATATTATAGAAGAGGAAACTGAGGCTCACAGTGGTGAAGAGATTTACCAAGTTCAGAATTAGGACTTAAGTCCATTTTCCAGGACTCTGACTCTGGCATTCTACATTGTGCTGTCTCTCTAAGTATGGAACCATGAAAAACAGAGTAGAGGACCTGGAACATTTTCTGAGAGGTTCTACATGAGGACAAACCTTAGATATTTTCATTCATACTGTTTGCTGTTAAAAGTTGCTGCTGAACTCTGGAGACTAGCAAAGTGCTTATAATATACGAGAAGCTCAATACGTGTTCAGAAAATGAGTAAAGTTATGGGAGGCAACATAATATAATAGGAAAAGCTATGGATATAGAAGCAAGAGACCCAGATTTATGTCCTGACTCTATCATTTATTGTCTATGAAAATCTATGAAATACCAAAGATGGGAAACAACCCAAGTGTCCATCTGTAAGAGACTATGGAACATCCATGGACCTCACTGGGCTAATATCAAGGGGTTGACAGAACTGAGTTCCTTTCTGGAGGCTCTGGGGGCTGCCTACATTCCTTGGCTTGTGGTTCCTTCCCCATCTCCAAAGCCAGCACTGGCCAGTGGAGTCCTTCTCAGATCGCATCACTCTGATCGTCTCTTCTGCTTTCCTCTTCTGCTTTTAAGGATCCTTGTGATTATATTGGGCCCACAGGATAACCTTTTTATGGTGAGGTCAGCTGATTAGCACTCGTAATTCCATCTGCCACATGAATTCCTCCTTTGCCATGTAAGATAACATATTAACAGGTTCCAGAGATTAGGATATAAACATCTTTGCCTACCACATCTATAAAAAGAGAAAGGGAGCTCTCTATGTTCTGAAAGAAAACATTCTCCAGGATATATTGTTATATAAAAAAAATGCAAGGCAAAGAGTGCAAATAGTATGCTACCTTTTGTGTAAAAATGGAAAAAATAATATTTATACCTGGTTATATTTGCATAAACAAACATTGGAAAGATATGCGAAAAATATCAAAGTGGTTAGAAACAGAATGGCATGGAGGCTGGGAAGATGGGGAATGAAACAGATTTTTCAATATGTTTCTAAAATTACTATAATTCTGAACTATATAAATATATGTGTTATAGTTTAACTCAAGGGATTCATAATTGTTCCAAAGTCCCTGTTTATTCACTTGGTATTCAAAACCTTCTATTTTAAATAGTCTATCCATCTTAAACCTTATTACTTTACTCTTCTGAAATTAACTCTCCTGATAGGCAAATCCTTGTTTGTCTTTGTACAGCAGTTCTCGAACATTACATTCACAGACTTCAAGAGATTCTGCATCTTTTGCAAGACTTTTGCAATTTCACTTTGAAATCTGTGTGCATTGTATAGTGAGATGTTTTCAGCATCTGGCACTGCTGCCATGAGATGCCAGTGTTAAAGATGGAACATGTCTTCAGGTGAGCATTCATTTTCTAAGTGGTCATGTAGTGAATATTTTCATTTCATACTTATAAAATGATGGCAACTTTAATTTTTCTATATAATTATAGAAATTTAAGTAATAGCTGTGCAAAACCTAAATTTACTTGGCTCTATTTCAGTGTTTATTATTCTATTACTTATTACAAAAGTCCTTTATTATACTTTTAATTTATTAGTAATATTAGTTTAATATATTTAGTAGTTACATCTTTATCATAAATTCTTCTTCTTTTTATAAAATATTTTGTGACATATCCTTAATTTTTTCCAGTCAGGATTACTAAGGCATACTTCATATACAGTAAAATTCTTTTTTAATATGTTCAGTTCTATGAGTTTTGAAAAACAATGACAGTCATGTAACCATGACAACAGTGAAGCTATAGAATATTTTCATCACCCAAAAAGCCCTTTGTGACCCTTTGACGTTAATTCTCTAACCTTGACCTTAGTCCCTGCTAACCACTGATCTCACAGTCCTTATAGTTTTGTCTTTTGCAGAAAGTTACATAAGTGCAGTCATATAGTATTCTCTCATTTAATATACTGACCTTGAGATTTATTCATGTTGTAGCAAATATCAGTACTTTGTTTCTTTGTATTGCTGAGTAGTATTCCATTGTATGGCTATACCACAGTTTGTTTAATTCCAGTTTGGGACAATTATGAGTAAAGTTACTGTAAACAGCACATATGTATGAATATATGTTTATACTTGTTTTACATAAATACTTAGAAGTGGGATTGCTGGGTCACATGGGAAATATATATGTAACTATAAAATTTCTTATGAATAACTGCCAAACTGTTTTCCAAAGTGGCTGTACCATTTTGTACTCCCACTAATGAAGTATGAGGGTTCCAGTTGCTCTTCATCCTAGCCACTTGATTCTAATATTTGTTTAATTTTCACCATTTTAATAACTGTAGTGGTATCTGACTACAGTTTTAATTTGTATTTCCATAATGGTTAATCATGTTGAGCATCTTTTTTGGTGCTTATTTGTCATCCATATTTCTTCTTTGGTAAAGTGCTAGTTCAAATATTTTTCACTTATCATTTATTATTTAGTTGTAAGTTATTTATGAATTTTGTATACAAGTTCTTGAGCAGATATGAATATTTTCTCCCAGTCTATAATTCCTCTATTTATTTTCTTAACTGGATGATGGTGTCATTTGAGAGTAGGAGTTTTTAATTTTCATAAAGTTGAATATCTCAATATTTATAGGATTAACACTTTTTGGTTTCTATCTAAAAATCTTTGCCTAATGCAAAGCCAAGTACATTTTCGACTATGTTTTCTTCTGAAAGTTTCATGGTTTTTAAGTTTATATTTATATGTATGATCCATTTGAACTAATTTTTATATTTTGTAACAAATAGCAGTCCAGATTTTTTGAAAATTTGCATATGAATATCCAATTGTTCTAACCCTATCTTTTGCAGAGATTAGGCTTTCTCCATTGAATTGACTCTGTAACTTTATTGATAATTAACTGACCATATAGCTGTGGGTCTATTTCTGGACTCTGTTCTGTTCAATCAATCCACTATCTACTATTTTTTCACCTATTTCACAGTCTTGATTGCTTCAGGTTTTATAGTAAGTATTAAAATCAGGAAGTCATGTATTGAAAATTTATACTAAAAATGTTTTGACTGTTCTAGAGCTTTTCTTTTTTTATGTATATTTAAGAAACAGATTGCCATTTTCTACAATGAAAAAGCCTTTGGAAGTTTGATCAGGATTGTGCTGGATCTATCTAGATCATTCGGGGAGAATTGGCATCTTAATAATATTAAGACTTCAAATGAATTAGCACTGTATATTTCTCAATTTATTTAGGTACATTTTGATTTTTGAGCATGGAGTTTTATCAGGTTACAAAAATTTCATTGGACTTTTGATTAAAATTACATTAAATATAATCTTATAAATCATGATAAACATCCTTTCTTTCCCAATGACTATAATTTTTACTATGCTTCCTATGTAGAATTATCAAAACATTATTTAATATCACATGGAAACAAAAATATTTATTACTTTAGTATTTCCAAAAAACATTAATCCTGTAACATGCTCTTTGCAAAATGGCTTCTGGGGTCAAGTAACTCAGGAAATCCCACATATTATAGGCAGCCTACAGATTATGATTTATACTGGTCATTAGCTTTAAGTGGTAATTCAAATATTATAATATTGTTTATTTTGGTTTCCTGTTATCTTATTGATATATTTAACAATCTACTTTCATAAAAGAGATTGATTTGTTCCCTTTTCTTGTTTTTGTTTTTTTTTTAGCAGGATGGTTATGCTGACCAGAAAAAATAATTTATGAAGCTTTCTTTTTATTTTCATGCTCTTGGAAAATATAAATTGTATAGTAAATTAATCATTCTCTCAGGTATTTAAAATTTGGCACATATATGAAATGTGATACTTGATATCAAGAATAAATAATAGTTTTCTTCAGCATTCATTGCATTTTAATTTTTAAAATATTTTTATTGCATTTTAAAACTTTTTATTTTCTGCTATTGAAGTATTTTTGACAAGTAAATATAGTTGGTGGCATTAATTGTAATATGGTTTAGATGAGACTGATTATATAGAGCAATTCTTATTTTTTGATATTATTTTTTGAAGAGGGGTGTTTTCTAGTCTACTTTCTCTATTGGTTTTAAATTTTGCATTATTCTTTATTTTTTAAAGAAATATTTTTTGAATCTGTGGATGTGGAGCCCATAGATATGGAGGGCCAACTGTACCCTACTGCTGAAGCATTAGGCCCAAATCCTTTGGAAACCTGACACCCTGAAATAAATGGGCCACCAATAGGAGTGATTGCTAAAGAGTATGCAAATAGGAAGGGATGTACATATTCAGGCCAATCAGACTTTCAGCAGGAGAGCAATGAAAAGGGAATACTCACATCCGAGTTAAAGCGAAGCTGACAGACATTACAGGAAATAACTTGTTTCTTCTTTGGGGGAATGGACACTCCAAATGTGTGGTTAATGACTGCTTTTTGCACAGGATCCATCTGGAAGGCAAATGATAAAATAGTCAACTTATAACTTCAAAGGATGGACACTAGTGTGAACAAATAAAAGTAGCTATATTACCAAACAAGGATAATAAAGAATCTCATACAATAGTAATGTATTTGTCTCCAGAAATTAAATAGAAAAACAAACACAAAACCAGAAAAACTAGTTTGAAATAATAATATAAAAAAGACCACAGGAGGATCAACATATCCCAAGAAATTTTATACCTATAACAAGAGACTTTAAAAGAATCATAAGAAACTTAAGATCAAAAGGTGTTTTCCCTGCATGAGGTAATAATTCTTTTTTTTTGAGTTGGAGTCTCACTCGTTCACCCAGACTGGAGTGCAGTGGCCGCTCCCAGCCACCGCAGCCTCACCTGCTGGGCTCTGGAGATCCTCCCGTCTCAGCCTTCCGAGTAGGTGGAATTTCAGGCATGCGCTACCACGCCTGGCTGATTTTTTGATTTATTGTAGAGATGAGGTCTCGCTGCCCAGGCGGGTCTCGAACCCGTGGGCTCAGGCAATCCACTCACCTCAGCCTCCCAAAGGTGCGGGATTACAGGCTGAGCCACCGAGCCCGGCAATAATAATAATAATAATAATAATAATAATTCTTAAGATGGTCTCAAATGACGTCAATGACAATTATTACAGATAAATTTAAGTTTCTAATTTGTGATTTGTGACAAAGTCATAAGTGACAGGCTCTTGTCACAGCACAGAAAATGTTGATCTTTATTTTAAAATAATTTATGAACTTTCATGTACTATAGATTGAAATTCATTCTACTTAAATGCATGTCACAATTGTCCACTTACATGCCTAAAGCAGATTGGTTAATATGTGAACCTTGGTTAAATACTGATCAAGTAACGTTTTATTTACAGTCTGTGATTTTCTCCCTTTTGGTTTGCATGTATCACACATATTCAGAGAAATATACAGTGATAAAAGTACTCCACCATAGAAAAAGTATGGCACAAAGTCATTAAAACACTCAGGAAAAGAAATGTATCTATCTGCAGAGCCTATGAAAGAGAAACAGCAGCGATTCTCTTGTGTACTCCAGAAAATAATCTCCAGCTTTAACATCAGACAACTGGCAGTTCAAAAAACAACACAGACAATGAACAAAGTGTTACTTATAAATAAATGTAACATGAACAAGGAGAGATCCACTGACACCATTATCTAGGAAATCTCCTGAGGTTAGCGATTAAGACTGGATTAGTTGATATTTGATAGAGAAGAGAAATGAATACTAACTCTGATCATGATTATAAATCAACAAAATGCAAAATCAGCAATTAGAATAACATTAGAAAGAAGGCTGGATTGAAGAGATACTGGATAATAAATTGGCCTATTTTTTGGCTACAAGTTCAAGAGAGATGAAGTCAATGTATTCTCACTATAAAAAAACAGTTACTGTGGTTTGGGATCCTTAAAAATGCTAAGAGAGGAGTTTTCTAGAAAATAGAACTCTTCTATATCCTAACTATAGTGTGATGGTTAAATAAATCTACACATGTGTTGAATTTCATAGAACTACCAGCTCAAAAACGTCAATTTTATATATGATAATTTAATAAGTTTAAAAAAGAAAATAATTTGAGTATTGTATTTGGCTAGTCAACATAAAATATCATTACTGGAAAATTTGGAGATTCATTTTGTTCAAGGTCATAATTGATTATATTACATTTTATTTAATGAGAATAACAGTTTTTAAAAACCCTCCATGGGGCAAAGAAAAATCTCAAAATATCAGCTAATACATTGTAATTCATTTTCTTATTTTACTCATAAATGCAAACACTTCAGTCTCATCCACCCATTTGCAAAATGTGAAACTGTACTTTCTGATAGTTACTAGAGATGGAAAATCAGTGTGGACAGGCTTAAAAATAAAATAGGCAAGCTATATTGGCAGAATGAAAAAATGGCACTGTCTTGCAAAGTTAAAAAACAAGAACTTTTAAAAAATTGAGATATTTTCTGTTCTCAGATCTGAAAAATACCTCTAGTGTGGCGATTTCTGTACTACATGGTATTAAACTATATGAAAAATTTCCAAACATCAGTTTCCTACACACCACTTTCATTATTTTTGCCATATCTATGTGCTAATTTTTAAAGATCAAATTAAAATACTTAAAAAATAATTTCATGAAATCATAGCTTTAATGTACACTTTTCTATTACTCATTTCAAAAACTATATTGAAAATTAACATGAAAAATGAAAACTTTTTTGAAATTATTACAATGTTTATTACATGCTAGAATAGAGGTGTCAGCAAAGTGCTATGAGATCACAAAGGGGAAGCAACCAACCCTCTCATTCTCACTGCAAAATAATACATTCTAGAATGAGCTTTTTGTATCCATCTTTTACATCTTCACATATTTCATTCACAGGAATACATCTGTGACCTGAGTGAAACCAGATTGTACATACAATTTGGCATGCTTTCAGTTTTTGTTTTTCCAGCTGGATAATCAATAAAGTGAAGAATCTTGGGCAAAACTTTTGCACAGCAATATGCACACAGTAAAATTTGCTGCCTGATAAATTATCCCTTCATGTTACCTAGTGCTGAGCTTAGCCCATAAGAGGCATCTGAAAAATTCTTTACTAGTTTGTAGCCCAACTTTCCATATCAGCTCTGGAGCAAAATGCTAAATGTACTGAATATGACCAAAAGTTACAATCACACAGTGATGAAACTTGAAATCACACAGTGATGAAACTTGAGCACATGTGAGAAACAAATGAGAGGGTTTCATTTTAAACATGTCAACTCACACGCCCCAAAACACTATACCTGCCCAGCAAAGCTCCCTTTCTGAAACCCATATACCTCAAAAGGGTTGCAAAACCAGATAAACGCAACAGGGAACACAGTAAGAAATTTAGCAAGAAGAAATTTTAAGTAATGACACACAACAGAGACCATTTCCAAGGTGCAGAGTCCCAAGAAGCATTGGACTGTTATCATTCTCTGCTTCTCAGGCTTATCAATGCTAAAATCCTTTAAAAAGAGTAATGGGCTGAGTCCAGGGGCTCAAGACCAGCCTGGGCAACCTGGTGAGACCTTGTCTCTACAATAAATCAAAAAATTAGCCAGGCACGGTGGCACATGCCTATAGTTCCAGCTACTTGGAAGACTGAAGCGGAAGGATCACTTGAGCCCAGCAGGTCGAAGTTGCAGTGGTTCTGAGCTGTGTCACTGCACTCCAGCCTGGGAGACAGAGTGAGACTCCGACTCAAAAAGAAAGAGTGGTGGGAGGTGGGGAGGCAAATTATTTTTATTGTTTCTTTTGTAAATTCCTGCAATATGATTTCAGTTCTTTGAAATGTATGTTTGATAAATTTGCCAAATTTCCTGATTTTTGGAGACCTTTTTTGGAGATTTTTGGAGACCTGTCTCTGCTGCTCATACCTTTTGCTTAAAAATGAAAACTTTTGTCAGGCATGGTGGCTCACACCTATAATCTTGCACTTTGGGAGACCAAGTTAGGAGGAGTTCACAACCAGCCTTGGCAACATAATGGGATCTTGTCTGTACAAAAAAAAAAAAAATTAGTCTGGTGTGGTGGCCCATGCCTGTAGTCCTAGCTACTTGGGAGGCTGAGGCGGAAGGAGCCCCTGAGCCCAGGAGTTTGAGGTTGTGGTAAGCCCTGATCATGCCACTGTCTCCGGCCTGGGCAACAGAGACTCTGACTCAAAAAAATTAAAAAATAAATAAATTAATTAAAAAAATAAATCAAACTTTTACCACTTAAATGCACGTATTCTAGTTGTTCCCATGCCACGATATAGAAAAGATAAAAGGTAAATCTACAAAAATCTAGTCTTAAATTTTTAGTAAGCTATGCTATCTTCTGACAGTTTCAGCAAGATCTTAGAATATAAATATTCTCTTTAAATATTTGAAATTGTTAGCTGCCTACATAATTTTTAAAATAACTCCCGATAGTTTTATTCTGTTTGAATCTCACATCTACACCACATCAGCCTGTAAATATGCCTTCATGTTCCCAAGGCTGAGAGCCCTCATCCTGAAATGGGACTTGTGGCTGAGCACTTCCTGCATACAGGCAGGCGAGATCCCAGCCATCTGCTCTCTGGAACACAAACTAAGGAGGGGCTCTCATGAAACTCTCACCAGAATTGGCTTCTCTAGTTTATATGTGTAATCCTAATTTTTTCTCATAAAATCAACTAAATAAGCACAGCTCCTTTACCTCTTCCTTGCTACCTGTTATTAGCTCTTGCTGCCCTTTAATCCTTTGAATGACTTATCAAAATCATATCAAAATTTTACCCTTATGTTTCTCACTGGGGAAAAATTTTCTGTATTTGCTACTTGTTTCTCTATTTCTGCATAGGGTTTCTGGAAAAGATTACTTTTTCTTCTAGTCTAAATCTCTTTTCTCTTCCTCTTCTGTTTATCATCAAATTATATAATTATATTTTTATATTCAAATGTCATATTGAAGGACATGATTCAGTTGAAAGGAGACTTTGAAAAAAGAATGTTTGATTTGCCAATTTATCTGATACCTTGACACAGACACCAGACAATTTATCTGACCCTTGTCAAGTTGATGTTCTGTGTATTTGCCCATCTGATGCAATAATTATAAATACCTGAGTTCTTCCAGTAGGATCTAGATAAGGCAGTAACCGAGAAGGTTTTGAGATACCTTTTTAAAAAAAGTATAAAATGATAATATTCTGGATTTTTGTTCTAAAGCATTCCTAAAATGCTCTGAAAGCTAGATAACTATGATATTAGTTTATATTAACTTAAAATTTTTCCTCCACTAGTGTGATGCCAGTTACCTGTAGTCATAAGGAGATATGTGAAACCGAATCAATAGTTAATTCTTTCATTCAATCATTTGTTTTCAGGATGAATAAAAACATTCCCATAAATCATAAAATATGATAAATGCAAGTGGTCCAATTTAGTTTAGTCAAA